CAAGTTATATGTAATTGACATTTTCTCATGCATCATCCTCGATGTGGTCAGATTGTGATCGTGATGATGCTCAATTATTATAATCAATTAAAATAAAAATTGCAATTGATACTTGAGCGATTTTCATTATTACTCTATTTATAAAATGTCATCGTTAAGCATTAATAAAAAAAAAAAATAAAAATAAAAAATAAGAAAGCCGTCAAGCAAGAAGTAATGAATGTTAGCGAAGCAACAACTTCAGCTGCTCCTATTGCACCTTTTACCGATTACACCAACTTTAATATGTTATTTCAACCACAATATCCCACCTCTCCATTTTTTATGAATCCATTTATTTTAAATAAGGCTACAGCTGAAAATAAAGAGGTATTAATCATATATATATTTATTATTATAATGTAATTATAATTCATATATGTGATAAAAATTTTTTTAGGCATCATCTATGTCAATTAATTATCTTAATCAAGAAAAGCCGGGTTCATTCAAGGCCAAGTCAGAAACTACTTCAGAATTAATTTCTAATGATGACTCAACTTTGGATATAAGTTCTACTTCTTCTAAAGTACCAAATCATAAAATTAACAAATAGATGGTCTTCATCTGAAACCTGAATCTTAATTGAAGAAGTAAGAAAGCAATAATCATTACAGTGAGCAAAAGATTCAAGGGAAAAGGGTCATATTTGGATAAGATTGTTTCAAGTATTCAAGCTTCTGCTCTAAATTCAACTTTAAAAGAGCATTCAAAAAACTCAATTCAGCAAAAGTGGGATTCTATTCAACAAAAGTATTGAATTATAAAGGATGTTATTAAAAATACTGGTGAAGAAGCTATACAAAATGAGTGGGAGTTTTTTAATGATGTGGAAACCTACTTGAAAGATGACTCAAGCATTACTGCTCATATGACTAGTGATTCAATTTATGGAATTAAATGCTGTAAACCTGATAATAATACAAACAATATTGACAATGAGGTAATAGTTATTGTTACTAGCTCTCAAACCCAGGCAATGCTTCAGGGCTTGAGCTCAACTTTTTTTAGTCTTAAAGTTTTGTAAATTCAAGTAAACCTAACTTGAGTTTATTTGAACCTGGGTTGGATTCACTTGTACTCAGGTTAGGTTTAAGTAAACTATCTTAGATTCACTTTATCCTGAGTTGGGTCAAGTGAACCTGATTTGGATTCACTTAGACTTGTGTTAGATTCAAGTGAACCTGATTTGAACACAGTTGGATTTTAGTAGACCCAATTTGGGTTTACTTTGAACCATATTGGTTATGTAAATTTAAATGAACCTGACTTAAGTTCAAATGAACCCAAATTGAGTTCAAATAAACCTGTTTGAGTTCAAATAAATCTAAATTGGGTTTATTTGAACCCAACTTTGGTTCAAATGAACCCACATCAGGTTTATTTGAACCTAATTTGGGTTAAATAAACCTAAATTGGGTTTACTTGAACCCTACTTAGATTTAAATAAATACAAATTGGGTTCATTTGAACCTAAATTGGGTTCAAATGAACCCAGATTGGGTTCAAATAAACCTGGGTTGTGTTCATTTAAACCTGACTTAGGTTTAAATAAACCTGGATTGGGTTCACTTGAACCCTGTTTATTAAGATTTTTTTATTTATTTTTATTTATTTATTTTTTTAATATTAAATTTTTAATTATTTTTTTAATTTTTAAATTTTTTTTTAATTTTTAATTTTAATTTTTAATTTTTAAATTTTTTTTAATTATTTTTGTAACTTTTAATTTATTATTATTATTATTATTTATTTTGTTTTTTATATATTTATATGTTAAATATAATTGATTTGCTTGTATTAAAATCCAATAATATTTAACAAAACTTAAAATAAGTATATTTATAGATTTAAAGAATTGTATTATGATTAGAATAGAATATTTTACTAATATTTATTTATTTTATTTTATTTGAATTGATTTATATTTGATAAAAGGGTCTTAGCAATATTTTATAAAAGACAATATTTAACATATATTGAATTCAGATCTTTATTAAGATAAATAAAATATAAAAAAATGCAATTATACTAATAATACTAACTAAGACTAACTCTATACTATTGTCATTATTTAGATATATGAACATAAAACTTATTACAGAAAAGCTATTTCTAACCTAAAAGAGTTTGGCTTGCTCAATCTTTGCCCAAAGAGGCTACATTTTTTTTACTTTGATTGTTTGAAACTTTTAGCCTAGTAGTTTTTAACTTTGCTTCTGTTTGTTTCTAACTTTTGTACATTAGTTACTAACTTGCTATTTTTATTTCTTTAGTTATTAACCCTTTACTGGTTATTATCCAACTTGAATAGTTTAAAACTGCTAAATCTAAGTTCACAATTCTTAATCAATGTTCTTAGGACACCTTATAAAAAACTAACTGAATAGTTATTCAGCTGATTCAATAAGTTATTAATTTCAGCATAATCAGTACAATGTTTATTATTTACAGAGATAATCTAAAGCCAGGTATGTATGTATATGCATATATACATAGGTTTTAAATTAGTTACTAATCAATTTGTAAATTGAAACTTACATGGAACATATAGCTTTAAATGATCTCTATTTACAATACAACAGTGCTAATTATTAATCGATAATCAATATTATAAGTTTGAATAATTGCTAAACACTTATCTGTTCACAAATCATCAATAAGTTAAGTTCTTAAATGATTTTAAAGATATGGTTATATTGAAAGACTTCTGCTACTTATAAGACCCAGTCTACTAAATTTAAAGAATATATATAAAATATCTTAAGACTTAAATTGGAGAGAAGCCTGACTAGTATTTTTATGAGTTACAATCTGAGATAGAACTTTAATAACAGAGATTGTCAAGTTTAATATGGGTACACATAAAAGCCTAATATAAATTTATTCAAATGTACAATATGTATACACAAATTGCATTGTATAAGTTAAGTACATTATTAATCATTACATATAAATATATCGCATCATTATCATTATCAATATATAAAGAAAAAAAAAGCATAAATTATATTTTGCTACAACCATGTTTAAGAATATTAATATTTAATTTACCACAAAATTTTTATGTAACGGTGTTAAACTTTCTGAAGATAATGTATGTACGTATATACATAGCTTTAGACTATCTCCATAAATAATAAACGTTATATTAATTATGCTGAAATCAATAACTTATCGAATCAGCTGAATAATCATTCGTTTTCATAATTCCTGGTGCACTTGTAAAAAAAATTAGTTGAATTATTTTCAGCTGATCTGGTTAATTTATTATTTCGGCATAATAGATTCAATAAAAATTGGTACATACATACGTACATACGCACGTTAGGGTTGTTAAATTTCAGTAATTTTACGTAATGTTACGTAATTATGTAAGATTTGGTAAATTGAAATTTTATGCTAAAATGTTTATGAGCATAGCTAAAATTACGTTATAATACTTGTGCACTAGTTCGATCACTATGAAATTTCATCTGGGTGGATGCTTGAGAACACTCTTTATACTAACTGGACTAAGGTTTTTCTCAAGCATCTCTTTCAGTGATTGGCTAGTTATAAAGATCGTGCATGATTAATTGAAGTAAACTTTACGATAATTTTGTCAAAGATTCATGCGAAATGTGGATATTAAATGTTGGCCAATCAGCACAACTCTATGATAAAAAAAAAATGGTTTCTACCATTTTCTTTTTTCATCACGATAATGAACTTGTTTGACCGAATAATTTATTTTCCACTAATTAAAAGTTGAACCCCGACCTATCAATTTAGATGCCCTAAGTTAAAGTAAATAAATATCATAAGTACTAATTGCATATATATAATTTGCTGATTTTAATTCCATTACTTAATAAACTATATACAGTACTTACCGAACTAAGGGTGCTCTCAAGCATCTAAATCAATCAATTTTTAATTAGTGAAAAATAAATTATTCGGTCAAGCGAGTTCATTATCGCGATGAAAAAAAAAGATGGTCAGAGACCA